ACAAAAAGAAAAAAAGGCTTTCCACAACTTTGAATTATGCATACCGAAAATTTCAGCACAATATCTTTGTCATCATTTATTGGAACACTCTTCTCTTTTGTCTACATATCAAAATAAAATAAACAAATATTATTGTTTGAGCACATAAGTCATAAATCATCAAGAGCATGAATTTAATTAAAAGGAAAAAAAAAAAAACATATTCTTACCTACTCTATAGTCTATATTACATGTAAATGCTACGGTCTCGTTACGGAATCATCCCGTCGGGAGTTTTAACAGTTGAATACACATGTAGTTAGGTCCCGTTACGGAACAATCCCATCGAGAGTTTTAACGGTTGAATACACATGTAATTAGTATAAAATAGATGATCTAACGGTTAAAACATCCGACTAGATGATTCCGCAACCAGACCATATATATGTCGAAAGACATTTCAAGATTTTGGTGGCTAATAACTTGAAAATGTGTAGTCTTAAAAATGATATCAAAAGCAAGAGGAAAAAAAGGATGATGTGAAGAATAAGTAATTTATTTATATATATAATTATAAAAAGGCATTTGATTCTTGAATAATAACGTAGTTGGGAGACCAAAGTTGCTTCGCGTCAAAGACTGTAAAACCAAGCGTGACACCTAGTTTTGATAATTGATCAGGACAATTGAAAAAAAAAAAAATGCTATAAAAAAAATTACAAACAGAAATGTAATTGAAAATAAAAAATAAAAGACAGAAAAATGACGCTACGATAGCAATTGTGTGACGTTGCATTCTCACCAAACATCCTCAAAAATCATATTAAATTTTTCAAAATTAACATTAGTTAATAAAAAAAAATATCATTTCGAATGGATATATTTTTGTACAAACACGCCCTTAATTTTCTCTTTTTTTTTTGGTACATGATTTCTGGATCTACAGGGAACCGACTAATCTGGAATCGAGCCGGGTAGGACCACAAGAGCGGCAAAGCTCTCCCTCTTGAATACACACTAATCAGATGATAAACTATAAGCTCACCAACCCCGGACTGTGACCCACTGAACACTGTAGTTGGTGTACCTGCACCGCATCACCAACCGCATATCAGATAAGCCACAGAAACATGGATTGGGTGAATTTTTCATCCATATATATGGTGCACCGGGTCCACCAAAACCCCACCAAACGACCTTTTTTTTTTGTGTTTTTTTGGTTGACTCAGTGAGATTGGGCAATCCTACTGTCTCGTTACGGTATCATTCTGTTGGAATTTTTGTAACCGTTAGATTAACTATCTCCGACAATTATCGGATGATCTAACAGTTACATACCCGACAAAATGATTCCGTAACGAGACTGTAACATTTCGCTTGCACATTCTAAAGTTGCCAACTTTTTTCTATTTTCGTTTTATATTCCAATTTCTCTTCCACACTCGCCTCTTTTCATCTCTCTCATCAATTCCCTTGTCCTATATAAAGTGCTTTTGTGCATTGGCACACAAACAAACAAGACAGAAAGTTGAAAACTTTTCAATTTAATCAGCTTGAAAATACTTCTACTGTGAAAGAAAAGAGAGAGAAACACAAAATGGGCAGCTTGGAAATGGAGAGAAAAATAGTGGGATGGGCTGCAAGAGACTCTTCTGGGGTTCTTTCTCCTTACACCTACTCGCTCAGGTTTTCTCAAAGATTGCATTTTTATTCAATTTTGTTCAGTTTGTAGAGATGGGTTCTTGTTCGTATGCGTTTTTTCTGGGTTTATTTGGAAAAATAATAGCTGTAAATTAATGAACCCCCATGAACAGGGAGACAGGGCCTGAAGATGTTCATTTGAAGGTGATGTGCTGTGGGATTTGCCACACCGATGTTCATCAGATTAAGAATGATCTTGGGATGTCCAAATATCCTATGGTCCCAGGGTACTTTTTTTTTTATTTAAATTATTATTATTATTTTCTGTAATTCTCTGTGCTGTGTGTGTTCAACTGTTTATCTGCTGGTGTGTCTGCTTTTTTGTTTATTGTGATTATTGACATAAATTTTACGGAACCATTCTATCGGGATTTCTAACCGTTAGATCAACTATCCTGACGGTTACATGATGATCTAACGGTTACAAATCCCGACGGAATAGTTCCGTAACGGGAGTGTAGCATTTCCCAAAATTTTGATAGGGAATATAGCCCTGAATTGAAGGATTTTACTAATTTATTAAACCTGGGATCTTGTTACTGAGGATTCTGCCCTTGAATTTTGCTGTTCTTCTTCTTGTTGTTTTTGTAAAAAGAAAGTAGAAAATTTGCAGGACTAAGAATTGGTGGTTTGAGCATTACTCTTGACTCGTATTACTACAAAGACTGGATTTTTATTACTAAATTTTCTTGCATTTTTTGTTTTGTGAAGACATGAGGTGGTGGGTGAGGTGATAGAGGTAGGATCAGGTGTGAGCAAGTTCAGGGCCGGTGACGTGGTTGGGGTCGGGTGCATCGTTGGGTGCTGTGGGAATTGCCGCCCGTGCAAATCGGCCATCGAGCAATATTGCAACAAGAAGATTTGGTCCTATAACGATGTCTATACCGATGGTCAACCGACTCAAGGGGGTTTTGCTGAATCCATGGTTGTTAATCAGAAGTAAGAAAACTATATAAAAAATAAATAAACGGTTAATTGATTTTATAATATTCGATGATTGATTGAAGATTCTTTAGTTCTCATCTTGTAATGGCTTCGTAATGTTCGAATTATTTCAGGTTCGTGTGTTTTTTTTGCTTTGTTCTGTGCATTAGGAGGAATAACTGGTTGTTGTTGAGTGTTGTTTATGAACAGATAAAAAAATTATGCAGAATGAAATCTGATAAGGGAAAATCATCAGTGATTAATTTTATTAATTTGGTGACTTATCAGTGGTTTGAGTCTATATCTTAGAGTTCTTGCAATCACTAAATATATCTGTAATTGTCAACTTGTAATCGAAGTTCAGCTTAAGGGTGCTTTTGAAGTCATTTAGATACATGTAATGCATTAAACCACATTTTTACTGTATGCATATTAAGTCACATATTTACATATATAACTATCAAATGCCTTTTTAACTCTTTACAGGTTTGTCGTCAAAATTCCGGACGGCATGCCACCCGAGCAGGCTGCCCCACTACTCTGCGCCGGGGTAACTGTGTACAGTCCTCTAAACCATTTTGGGTTGAAACAGAGCGGGCTGAGAGGCGGGATATTGGGCCTCGGTGGTGTGGGTCACATGGGTGTCAAGATTGCCAAGGCGTTGGGCCATCACGTTACCGTCATAAGCTCCTCCAACAAAAAAAGGGAGGAGGCCTTGGACCACTTAGGTGCAGATGACTATATCGTAAGCTCGGATTCGGCAAAAATGCAGGAGCTCACAGACTCGCTCGACTATATAATCGACACTATACCGGTTTTCCACCCTTTGGAGCCTTACCTCTCGTTGTTGAAAGTCGATGGGAAATTGATCTTGATGGGCGTTATTAATACTCCACTGCAATTCGTTACTCCCATGGTCATGCTCGGTGAGCCCCCCAAATGACCTTTGGCTTTCTAAAAAAATTATTTTTTATACGCCCTTTTCATATATTAGTTACCAAAACGAGATGAGCCGAGCTCGAGCTTTAATGGGCCGAACTATAAAAAATTATATAAAAATTCTTTTTTCGAGCCTTACCGATCCGAACCGAGCTCAGCTAGTTAACCAAACGAGTTTTAAATGAGATCAACCTTAACGAACCGAGCCGAGCGAAGCTTGGCTCGTTTAATTTAACAATACTTATCGTTAGTCATGGTAAATTTTTGGGGGGCCTTGGAGTGATGAGTCCAGTTTGAAGTGGATTTATTTAAGTCAAAAAGATGTCTTCTTTTTTTGTGTAGCTTATTAGCAACTTTCAAAGGATTTGGTCAAGAGAATTGAAAACACTCACCTAAACATTTTTTAATATAACTATAGGGAGGAAGAGCATCACGGGAAGCTTTATTGGGAGCATGAAAGAGACGGAGGAAATGCTCGAATTCTGCAAGGAAAAGGGCCTGAGTTCGACTATTGAGATAGTGAAAATGGATTACGTGAATACGGCTATGGAGAGGCTCGAGAAGAACGACGTTCGGTACAGATTTGTCGTGGATGTTGCCGGGAGCAAACTCGCCGAATGATCGATAATAACTTTTCATAAGTCATATCTGAAAAAACTCTTAATGATTTTATTTGAGATTTTATACTTACATCATCATGGAACTTTTTCTTTTGTGTTACTCTTTGTGTGGAACAAAAAATGGAATGTGTTGTGCTGTGTTGCTTTTTTTT